CCGTACTCTTACTAGACGTAACGTTAACTACCGTCGGTCCGGTTCGGTCGTACGACTACTAACATAGACTAATATAGTAGTAGGTGTAGTATATATATATATATATATATATATATATATGGGTGCAATTGGCATACGGATGCATCCGTAGGTGTAGAGGTTAGGTGAACCTTCAAATTTTATCATATAATTCTGATGTAAAATGTTCTTAAGATTATCTCAAAATCTATTTTTATATCTAATTATAAAATTTTAATTTTCAAAATTGGTTAAAATCAAGTGGATCTATAAACATATGAAAATCTTGAAAATGGATGGTGTAGATAATATGTTGTAAAATGCACTATTTTTTAGACTTAAAATCTTTTTATTTTTCATAGTCATACATCTTGATGTCGAGATGATCGATCAAAGGGGTTTTCATCATTAAAATTATCTTTTCCGATGGATTTTTGAGGGGCATTCGTAGTTCTACATTATAAGGTAGCATCCTTATATAAGTTTTGTCCATATATATATATTTATAAAATAAACTTCTTGTGTCTTGGTTTAATAACTTAGATCTATGCTTCCCCTACCATCCAGCCGTCCAATTTGGATCAAGAGAGCCACTCACGGTGTGATCTTAGATCCGACATCTTAAGTATTTTATTTTTAGTTTTTTTTATACAAATTCTATGAATATGAAATTTGATACGTGCCATCTTCTCATTGGGGTGCACCTATAAAAAATATTAATAATAAATTTTTGATAAAATATAATGACCAAAAGACCCCTTAAATCTTTTAGGGGTATTTTGGTTATTTTATTTCATTGAAAATATTTTATTTAAATATTTTTCGCTAGTGCGAGTTTAGAGGATTGGACGTCCAAAATTTAGTATCAAAATAGTTTATAGAAAAAAATTAAAAATAAAATAGTGTAGAGACTTGCCATTGTGATTGGGGCAATCTTAGCCCTCCATTTAGAAAGGACGGTTGGATAAGGGGAAGTATATAAGTTTCATGCCGCAAGGGAAGCATATAAAACTTGCCTTTAACAGATATTAACTATTTAATATTGCTTCAACCATTTTTTTTAATTACATAAATGCAAAAGTTTATATAAAGTTGCAGCCTTATACTGTTGAAGTAAAGTGCACCTCAAAAATCCTACATGAGTGTTTCGGCATTGGAGAACCTTCCAAGTGATTATCTTGATCTCGAAATATATGGAATAAAGAAAAAAACAGAATTCCAAATCCAAAAAAATAGTGCATCTCATAACAAGTTATCTGGACTATATTATTTCAGGACTTTCAAATATTTCTTGATATGCCCAATCTATTTTTAAGATTTTTAAATGTTTCCTGATACGCGTTCGATCTGCACTATTTTTAAAATTTTAAATTTTATAACTAAGGAGAAAAGAGATTTCCAAGCCATCATGAGGCTTTTGATACTGAAACAACATCTCTAAATAAATTTTACATGTATAGTATAAGGAGACAACCTTATACAAACCTCACCCTTAAAACCCCATTGAATGATACATGAGTATATGATAACTCAATTGTTTTTGCATCTTACACGAAAAATATTAAGTAGTTAATATTTTTAAGTGTTCTGAATGGGTTTTTAAAATTTAAATTAGAAAATATTTTGATAGCGCTGCAACTCTATTAAAATAAGTAAAACTTCACCTCAAAACTCACCGAAAATATAGTTCTGGTATCAAAAAACCTTTAAATCGATCATCTTGGTCTTGACCATTATTATTGTACAAAAAAATTAGGATTTCAAACCTTAAAAATAATTTATATTATAACATATTATCTAGACTGTCCAATTTGCCCTAAAAATAAGTATTCACCGATCCGCGATATGTACTATTTTTTGAGCTCCAAATTTCACAGTTGGTGGTGGAAATTGATTGTAAATTACTATTTTTTGAACTCCAAATTTCACAGTTGGTGTGGAAATTGATTGTAGAATCACCATGAAGATTTTTGAATCCCAAAGTGCTTTCCAGATGAGATTCGAGATGAGACTTTGCTTTTATAAAAAATCCTGGGCCTTACTGAAACAACATCCTTTTAAATTAGGGAGAGTATTTGTAAACCCCCGACTTTAGAAACCTTTACCCAAAACATAGTTGGAAAATGCAATTTCAAAGCTCCAAAACATCTGATATGGTTATTTGGATCTAAAACATAGTAATAGCTTTAAGCCCTTAAAATAGTTTACCCTATAAAATTTTGGTCACACGCTCTCTAAACCATTTATTTCAAATTTTCAAGTATTTGCAGAGCTGTGATATTTGCAACAAGAGCATCAAATTTTACACCAAGGGCCAAGAATCGATTTGTAATACAAAACAAAAGTTTATGATGCCAAAATATTTCCAACAAGATTTCAATATATATATATATATATATATATGAAAAAAAAGCTGGCATAAGCCCACTAGCTCATAACTATATATAAGTCTAACGGCCTATATTTAATCTAGGACGATCTAACAGCCACGACTCTATTTCGTATTTGAATTATATTTTTTATTTTTACAAATCCAAATCATTTGAAATCTTGGAAGTGTATACTTACAAATAAGAGAATCTAATAAAAATATCAAAAAAATAATTTACAATAAATTAATTAACAAAAATACCACCCAAATTACAGAGGTATTTTGATCAATTTATTTATTACGAATTATTTTTTTAATATTTTTATTAGGTGCACATTGATGAAAAGTATAGACACCCAAAATTTCATATGATTTGGATTTATATAAAAAATAAAATAAAAAACGAAATGAAATCGTGACTGTCAAATCGACCCAGATTTAATATAAACCGTGAGGCTCATATGTAGCTATGAGCTAGTGAGCCTACGC